TGTGACCTAGTAGGGTAACAACACGTCTGGAAGAAAATAACCAAGCTCAGAGAGCACCGAGGATTCCACAGTTCAACCCTGAAATACAAATATTCTCTGCTATTGATATCAGTGATTAAAAAATAAAAATAAAAAGAATAGAATGGAACAAAATTATGGCCAATATCCTCCCCCCGGTGGGAATCTATACCAAATGGAAAACATAAGGAAAAATTCAGAAAGAAATACTATAGGAAAAGATTCTGGAATTAAATACGGGGGAAATCACCTCTCTCCTGCATTCTTTTATTTCTACAAACTTACTTCTGTGGACCGATTAGATTGAGGTCAAATATCTCTGCAGTTTTTTGTACATAATCCGCCACCAATGCTTCATCCTCATTGACCGTACGAATAGTTAGATCATCTCCTTTTAATTCTGGGAAAAGTTTAACCTGAACCTAAAATGCAAATATAATTAATATCACACATACACACTCACAAAGTAAGATTATCTCACACAAAATATTTTATTAGCCTGATGATGAAATCACATCCCAGCAAAAGTTTCACCTCAATCCTAAACCTTAACTCTGAAATATTTTCCAAATTCAGAGATACATAAAATTAAAGCCTTGCTGGACAGAATAATTGACATTTTATGATTCTATCTATTCAAAGATTATGAATATCTTGTGTCTAGGACTGCTGGGCTATAAAACCCCTAACCTTTGCTGACATCTAGCAGCTGGTTGGGTTTTTTACAATTCAGATTTTATAATTCTAAATTATATAAATACACTTATAGGGTGAGACAAGTTGCGATCATTTATGTGACCAATTCTTAAAAGATGTATCACTAATCCAGAAGGTCACTAAGCCAGTGAATGATAAGGCATGGGGGTATGTGGTTCATTTTTAATATTATTATGTGTAAATCCAGCCCATTGCTTTGTAAATCATGCTTCAGAGTTGTACAATGTGTGAACTGAAGCAGAGTGGAAAAAAGAAATATAACCTAGCGTGATGTTTCGTTCTACAATGTCAGGCATGTAGAATCAGGACTGCAAGTTAAATTCTAATTAAATTGATTTATTGCTCATGCCTACACACAATATCCAGTCAACTAATAGCCAGCACTAAATTGGTAGTAGAGTAAGAGCTAACAAAATTCAACAGGGTTTGGACTTAGACCCACTTATGGGAACGTAAGGATTCCAGGCTGATTTCTCTCGGGATTCTGCCTGTCCTCCTCCTACAACAAGCCATTGTACAACCATCTTCAACTTACGACCATTCGATTAATGGTGGTCCAAAAGTTACGACAACCTCAGAAAAAGTTACTTCTTACCTATACTCCTACTTCAGATCCTCAGCCAGAGGTGGTATTCAGCAGGTTCTCACCAGTTCTGGAGAACTGATAGTGGAAATTTTGAGTAGTTTGTAGAACCGGCAAATCCCACCTCTGACTGGCCCCGCCAACCTCATCTCTTCTCTGCCTCCCATTGAGTCCCAGTTGATTGGCTGGATCTCCTTTAGTTGCCCTGCACAGCAGAACGGAGCTGGAAAGCAGGTTAGTGGGGTGGGGGAGGGAAGGGGGATTTTGCAGTATCCTTTCTCTGCCACGCCCACCAAGCCACGCCCACAGAACTGGTAGTAAAAAATTTTGAATTCCGCTGCTGCCGTCAGCCCACCCACCCCTGTCCAGCTTTAGTTGGGGAAGGTCAGGGACCCCAGTCAACGCCGACTTCTTCAAGAGTTCAACCACGGAGTAACCCAAGATATGAACCGGACCTTGTTATTCCTTCAGCATACCTTAGGGAGACCTTCAGAATGCTTGAGAATCTCAATGAAACAGCGGTAGACCAAGTCCCACAAACTCCGCACGTCGGGATCAAATATAATTGACGGATCTTCCACGTCCAGTTTGAGGACCAATATTTGAGGAATAAAGAACTGCATGTCTTGATAAACGTCGCCAAAATCATTTCCATCCTCAAGAGAAATTAGGAAATAAATCGTGAGACCGTGCGCAGGGAATAAGCAGAAAGGATCGATTTTCAGGATCCAGGGCTGTCTGCGATTGAAGTTTATGGAATGTTTCACACTTACAACCAGTTCCGCAACCTTGAGGACGTGTGATCGAAATTCGGACACTTGGCCACTTGGCCACTGACTCATATTTATGATGGTTGCAGTCAGGGGTGGGATTCAAAAGTCCCAACAACCGGTTCTCTGCCCGGTTGCTGGGTGGGCGTGGCCATGGTAGGCATAGCCTACTGGAACTCCCATGAGGGCCATTTTTTGCCTTCCCCAGAGTCCGGAGGCTTCCCTCAGGCCTCTGGGAAGACGAAAACGGCCATTCCCAGGTTCCGGAGGCCCTCCAGAACCTGGAAACAGGCCCATTTCTTCTGAAATGGACTTCTGGAACTTCCGGAGGGCTGTTTTTCACCTTTCCCAGAGTCCCGAGGCTTCCCTTGGGCCTCTGGCAGGTAGAAAACAGCCATTCCCGGGCTCTGGAGACCCTCTGGAAGTTAGAAAAAGGCCCATTTCCAGACTTCCAGAACTTCCGCTTTGGCCCGTTTTTCGCCCTCCCAGAGCCTCTGCACAGACCCTGCACTTACCTGCCTCCAAAATGGGCCACGTGGAGACCCCTGGGAAAGGAGGGGAGGGGTGGGCCAGCCGGTCGCTGTTCTGTCCCACCCGAAGTTTCCAAAAGCAAACACAGATAAACTCCAAAACTGAAACGTTCACGGCTTTATTCCACAAATAACCCTCTTTGTAGATTACAGATGGCTTGCAGCCAATTAGTCCAATAAATCAGAGACTGTAATCATACTAACTCCTTCAAACTTTTGCCTTTTGCAAAGGCAAAAGCCGTTCGAAACCAGGCTTATATTCCCTGGAGGGAGGGGCCATTAATTAGCATTCTTACTCTCAAGTGGCCTTCCTGATTGCTGCCAGCTTCAACTACCAGTTCGGCGAACCAGATGCTTATTTTACATTCAATTCACCCGAACCGGCTGAATCCCACCCTTGGATTCACTTAATAACCGTGCCGCTAACTTCACAATTGCAGTGAGTCGCTGAACCACGGAGGCAGCAAAGGTTGTAAAATGGGGCACAATTCACTGAACAAACGTCTCGCTTAACAACAGAAACCCGGGGCTCCGTTGCGGTCGTAAATTGAGGACTGCCTGTACACCCACAACATACCTTGTGTATCTTAAAAAAATTGAGCAGGTCCTCTAGGGAATTGATGACCATCTCTCGCAATTGCAGGGACATCAGGATGGCGACTGAAGCAAAGTATTCCTCTATTTGCTGGCAGGAATCGAAGTCATTTTGCGGGGCAAGGTGCAACCACTTCTCCTTCTGCTCAATGAAGAGGTCGGCGCACCTGGGGATCCACCTGTAACGACATGGAAAGTGCCATTTGCTCAAGCATTTTTCCGGGTGGGACAATTAAATGATGAATTGCAAAGGCCTTGGGATCACATAGCTGGACGACGAAATATGAAGATTTTAAAGAGGGGGGTCGACCTCTTCTCTAAAGCACCTGAGGGCAGGACAAGAAGCAGCAGGTGGAAACTAATCAAGGAGAGAAGCAATTCAGAACTAAGGAGAAATTTCTTGGTAGTCAGAACAATTAATCAGCGGAACAGCTGGCCTCTAGTAGTTGTGGATGCTCCAACCCTGGAAGTTTTTAAGACGAGATTGGATAACCATTTGTCTGAAGTGGTTTCCTGCCTGAGCAGGGGGTTGGACTAGAAGACCTCCAAAGTCCCTTCCAACTTGGCTATTCTATTCTATTCTATTCTATTCTATTCTATTCTATTCTATTCT